TCTATTCAAAAGACGTGATTCGAACATTGAATTCACCTGTATGAAAGTCAAACTCAAAAAATGCAAATTCTTCAAAGACAAATTTAAACTAAATAACTGTAACAGCACATAAAAACAAAACAAACACTGTTATTCGAATCTAAGTAATTCTAAATCTTCTGCAATTAAACAACGAGCAATAAACCTATGAACCCAGGTTGACCTACAAAAAGCTAGTCAAACAATTTCACAAAGAGCTACTCAAAAAACGCGTACTAGCATTTCACACTTCCAAAAAATTGTATGAAAACTTTGCGTTTTTCACAAATGTAAATTGATTGATTAGCATTTGTCAATAGCTTTTGAAACAGTATGACTAGCATTTTTTGTGTGTATGACTAGTGTGAAGGTCATCCAGGGTTATCATATTTATTACTGAATGGTTAATATCAGGTGATAGAGAAATACTTGGATTCAAACAAAAACGCTGACTTGGTTTTTATGCTCTGCTACAGTTATAAAGTTAAAATTTGTTTTCGTTGAATTTGTTTTTCTTGTGTTGAAGTTTAACTTTTGTTTTTTTTTAATATTGTTTTATGAATTTGAGTTTCGCATAATTGAATTTGAATGTTGGGAATGACGCATTTAAAGCAAAAAAGGTATAGTTCTAGATAAAAAATGGAACGTCTCGGACTTTGGAAATTATTCAACGCAGGTTTGAATTTTGTCCGAACATTCTTCAAATATTTTAAAAGTTCAGATTAGACTTGAAACATTCAACAAAAAAATTTGTTTATATCAATTCACAAAAACATTTAGCCTAAAATGTTCAAAACTGAAAACTGAAACTGTTAAGTATTGTTACATAGATAAAGTTTAATCTATCGAATAACAACTAGAAAGGGAAGACAACTAAACTAAGGCTACACTTTTTAAGCATAATCCTTTTAGCTGGCTTCCAAATAATACATTAGCAACTAAGAAAACAGAGCATGAGCTACGAAAATAATTATAAGTATTTTAAACATTTTAGACACTAGATTTTTTTTGTGAAATTATTATGATTGTATATATATATACCTCTTAGCTCTGTAATACGCTTAAAACAATTATAATTCATTTTTGAAAGTTTGCTGGAAGTTATGCCGTTATAGTTTGTATATCCTGCTTAAAAGAACGCAAGATTTCTTGTATCAGACTTTTCAGACTTTCAAGCGGTGTTAGCCTAAAAAAAATTGATGTTTTTTCGAAAAATTATTAAAAAGAATAATTTTGAGATTTCCTAAACATCACCGCACAAACCATATAAGTAACAAAATGAGAGATTTTGCTCCTAGTTATCATTTGTAAAGGATGACAAATAGCCTGCTTCAACCAATTTGGGACGATTTTTAAGACTGATTAAATAGCTAATTACGCGTTAAAAAGGCCAAATATATCACGCCTTAATTGTCCTAATTTTGCCAAATAGGCAAAAAGTAAACCCCCATAATTTACAAAATCACAAGTGTCATATATATATTTTTCCGAATTTGAGATCAAGACAACCACCTTTTGGCTGATATAATTGAATTCCGTGAAAAATAGCAAGTTAAAAAGGCAAAATTTGTCTGTCTGGAGAGAAAAACACCCCGAGCTCAAACATTCCGTCAGTTTCTTCGAAAGTCGAAACAAAAAACAGCGATGGAAATAATAACATTGCTGCTCGTATTAGGGCAAAACCCTGAATGTTCCGACTGTCCATAAACTGGTTTCGAATAAATTTTATATAAAGAAAAATTGACAAACTACGATTTTTCAGCTGATTTTTATGAATTGTGTATAGAATTAAAAGACGAATTAACTTTACTCAATTAATTTTGGAACAACTTTGTGTGATAAATTGCCATGCATAATAGGAGCGCAATAAATTTTCAGCATCAGAGTATCACATCGCTCTTTTTATCACACGTTAGGTTAGTAGTGAGCGTTTCACAGAAATCTTTCACTCAGAAAAGTCTACTGGTGAGCGCGCCCCTTCTGGGACCGCGAAAAATCATGGATCGATCCTTTGGGGGAAATGCAGTTGAGAATTGGTCTCAATAATTAAAACCACCCCGAGAATATAAATTCTTTGTTTTTTTTCGAAATTTGCAAAAAAAAATTGTTATAGTATAACTAAAGTCGTTTGGTATACATCACTGGTGTTGGAAACACTTTTCGGTCGCTAGTAGTTTATTTGTGATGCACCTTTATTTTCAACAGTTGTATCAATTTTTAGCATACATTGTATCAATTTTTAGCGTGAGAAGTTTGCTATCATTAGCTATTAGAAGCGAGACGTTTCTTTTCTATTTCAGTTTTTTCAAACTTTTCTAAACTTCTTTTGCAAATATAACCTAAAAGCGTGGATGTAACGAACTCGAAGCGACTGCAAACACTGAAATACTACTAACTTAGGGCTATTTTTTTTTAATTTTGGAACTGAGTGACGTAGGTTTTAATTTGAATTAGGGAAAATTTGAAAATAGACTCCTACTCCTGCCCAATACCCATGTGGCGGTACAGTACATACATGTATTAGGGTTGGGGTTTAATTGGAACTGGGCATTGGGTGCAAATTAGAGTACAACTGTGGTGAATGCATAATTGAAAAGGGGCGGTTAAACTTGAACAGAAAAAAAAACGAAGTTTTCTCGTCTTTTGTTTTACAATCGCAGTCTTTTTTATAACTCACTTTTCCCTCTACTTTAGAATTTTTACTCAGAATACTTTTTTTCACGCGTTAATTTTTCTAAATTACAATAAATTTTTAATTTTTTTCTGGTGTTTTAAATGACAAATAAACAGCAGTTTAAACATAACTTTATAATTCATCTTTGAAAACTTGCTGGAAGTTACGTCATTATAATTTGTATATCCTGCCTAAAAGGACGCAACATTTCTCGTATCAGACTTTTCAGGCCTATCGAGCGGTTTTAACCTAAAAAAACTGATGTTTTTTTTGAAAAATTATTAAAAGGAATAATTTTGAGATTTCCTCAACATCACCGCACAAACCAAATAAGACACAAAATGAGAGATTTTGCTCCTAATTATCGTCTATAAAGGATGACAAATAGCCTGCTTCAACCAATTTGGAACGATTTTTAAGACTGATTAAATAGCCGCTTACGCGTTAAAAAGGCCAAATATATCACGCCTTAATTGTCCCAATTTTGCCAAATAGGCAATAAGTAAACCCCCATAACTTTACAAAATCACTAGTGTCATATATATATTTTTCTGAATTTGAGATCAAGACAACCACTTTTTGGCTGATATAATTAAAATCCGTGAAAAAAAATCTAGTTAAAAAGGCAAAACTTGTCTGGAGAGAAGAACACCCCGAGCTCCAATATTCCGTAAATTTCTTCGAAAGTCGAAACAAAAAACAACGCTGGAATTAATAACATTAGTGCTCGTATCAGGCAAAACCCTGAATGATCCGACTGTCCATAAATTGGTTTCGAATAAAAATTTATATAAACAAAAATTGAAAAACTATGAATTTTAAACTTGAACAGAAAAAAACGAAGTTATCTCGTCTTTTTTGTTTTACAATCGCATTCTTTTTTATAACTCACTTTTCCCTCTACTTCAGAACGTTTTCTCAGAATACTTTTTTTCACCTGTTAAGTTTCCTAAATTACAATAAATTTTTAATGTTTTAATGTTTTGAATGACAAATAAACAGCAGTTGAAACAGAACTTTGCGTATAAATAAGAAAAACACCAAATTTTGTTCCGATCATTGAAAATGGGAAAGAACTTTGTATTTGAGTATGTTTTAATTTTTTTCTGACTTTTTTGTTCCCACCGTTGAAAATGGGGAAGGACTTTGGATTCAGCTACAACAAATAATCATTGGACAGGGTTGTGTGATATATCATATTAAAGCCCTTTCAGTCGTGATTCGAACGACATTTGAAAAACACAAAAACATTTTCACAATGTTCAGAAAAATCGGTTTGAAATTTGTGGTTTTCGGTCTAATTTTGAGCTAAGTATTAAGATTGTTAGTAATTGCAATAGCTTATATAAGCTGAATTTAAAACGTGAAAGATTACTTTCACTTTCACTCAGTCAAAAGGTAATTTTTGGAGTTTTCAGCGCAATTTCGGGAATCAAAAACTAGAAAATTGAAAAAATTTCCCCCAAAAAATTTTTTAAAAGTTTTTTGGCATTTTTTTTGTTTTTCTTGTGGTTTTTTTTCATCAACTGTTTTCCAATTGAAATATTTTACTATGACTCTCAAATAAGCCCAATTTTTTTCTCAGATTGATTTTTTTTAGATTTTTTTATCACAACATGCAGAAAAAAAAACGACACAATTTTGAGTAAAAATTTTGTATTTTTAAGACTGTGGTGGAAACGTTCTTTGCTACTTGCACAGTAACCGACTATCCTTGTTGTCTTTTTGTTTGCCATTCACGCAAAATCAGGCAGCCAAATAATCATTGGAAAGATTCGATTGATAAATCAAAATGAAATCCCATTAGTCGTGATTTGAACGGCATAAAAAACTTTTCGAAAAGTTGTCTCAGTGTCGAGAAAACCTGGTTTAAAAATTTTTGTTTTAAATTTAATTTCGAGTATATGGATTAGTGTTTACTATTTTCTTATACTTTTAGGCTCACAAAATAATTTTTTACTCAAGGAATTTAGTTTTAGATGTTTGATTCAGCGCTTATTGAGCAATAATTATTTTCAAAAAAATTAAAACTATTGTTCAAAAAATAAGGAAAAACTTTTTCATTTTTTTGTTTCAATTTTTGTTTATTTTTCCTTTTTTGAAAAAAAAAATGTTGCCGATCTTGTCTATTGCACTACCTCATTAGGTGTTTGTATAGTTTTACAATCACACTACTCACTAAAAAAACACTAATTTGAAGAAAACAAAAGAAGAAAACTTTTTTTCTTCATTTTCTAATGAATATGGTCGGAACACTCTGTGCTACTTGCACAACAACTGGTTATTCTTGTTTTATATTTCTATTTCTTTTTTGCTTTTCTTTCTTTTTTGTTTTACGGGCTTCAGATTGTTGAGTGACACAATTCAGGGGTAGTTTTCTTCCCAATTTTGATAACACAGGTTTTCAGGTTTTGGGACTTCCGCCGGACCGATAGCTTATAAGTTTGCCTCAATTCTATTACCAATTAAGGGTTACTATTCTTGGTTACATATGCGTGTTCGCCAGATTTTCTGATTTGAGAGTATATTGGTTAATTTCAAATTGACCCCTGTGTATTTTACAACCAATTCGAATTTACATTTATATCGATTTGGGCTTTGCTTCCTCATTTTTGGTGACGTTATTTAAATGAAATTAAATGAATAAAAAATTGGGCCAATCTGTGTTTGTGAGAGGAAGGGTGACCCTAACTGTTAATTAAGCTCAGCACAAATCCACAAATCCCCCCAAGTTATCTCCCACGTTACCCATTCCAATCACGTGATCAAATTGCACTGGAGGGGAATTAGCAAATCAAACTGTCCGTCCATCAAATCAACACACACTTTGACAGGTAGTTATGTGTCCTTAAACCCTACGCATATCACTTTTCAAAAAACAAGCAAGAACCAACATTACCGCAAAGTTCGTTTTCTTCAAAAAATGAAGAGAAATTTGACTTCATCGGTTTATTAGACATTGACTACTCATCCACCCCCTTCTTTCTCTCGATCCCGAATCATGTTTGGAGCTGCGGGGGTTCTATGTGTGAGAGACAGGTTTAATTATGCAGAAGAGTGTGCTGCGACCGCATTAACCCTTTCCTGTCTGTCCCCTCATTGGTATGCCCAATTTGAGCCCAGCTTGTTTGTGTGATCTTCCAAAACAACACTCACATTTTCACACATCTTTTTTCACTTTAAAGTTATGGATGTGAAATAAAATTACTGATATTTCTCTGTTTTTTTTTTCTCTGTTTTGCGTCCTGATGTTTTATTTGTTTTCTCACTAACTCCATTATATGGATTACTATATCACCATTACTCCTCTTTAGTAGCTGAAAATGGGACAAATGTGTTGAATTTATGTAGGGATGTATTTAGCAGCAATGATGGGTGCTGTTCTTATGATAGAAGCATCGATTGTCCGAAAACTTCCAACCAATCAACGTCTTTTAAACTGTCAAAGATTGGATGATTTACCAGCTTTTAGCTCTAAGCTTTTCGAATTCTGGATTTTGATTGGTTAACTTGATTTTCGGGCATTCGGTCCTTCTTGCATTAGGATCCCCCCACCCCTCATTTTTTATCGCAATGATTGAACACATCCTATTTTTGTTATTTCCTTTTGAAACAATTGCATCCCCTCTTTTTCCTCGCTTTTTCCACTTACGCTTCTATTTCCAAAGCCGACCGGGTCATTTTTCAACCCGTAGTACCTCATTTATAACTCATAAACCCCCTCATAACTTATAACTTCTATCTGCCTGATACACCATAATGTGGCCTGTATTCATATACTTGAATTCTCTCTGTGATTGATAAACGTGTGTAACGGACACTGTTAGTACTAGTAACTACAACTATACAGACTACTGGTAATAGTTATAAATAATAACACACATTGATGGTCAGAAGTTAAAGTACCCATGTTGTTCGTACCTATATTCAATCCTGCCACCGAAAACCATCATATATTAATACCCTCAAGCATCACCGATAAGTTGGGAAAACGAAGAGCTTGAAAAGAGCAAATTGCACGTCAAAAATAGAAACAGAGATAAAATACAGCACAACAAAGAAAAAATAGAAAAGATCATATACCTGGTATAAACTAAAAAAGAACAAAAAAACAGATCTTAATCATATCTATATAATCATTTTTTCCATTCTTTTTTTGTTATGATATCTTATGTTTGCAGCTCCCTCCGATTTGTGGCTTTGCCGTCTTTGTCACAGTGCTACGGGGATGCCATATAGCTTAACGTGCATCTTTTGATCACCAAAAAAAAAAAAACTGGGACGAAAAAAGAGAGAGCAGTTATTCTGAATTATCATCCGGAGCCAAATCCATTTTTGGTCTGAATTTACGACACTCGAGGTACAATAATTCTTTTTTCTCCTTCTCTCTTTTCTTTCTCTCCCCCTTTTGGTCGCTTGTTGTACACCCGATTATGATTATGGCTGCTATTATTGCCTACCATTCTTCTTTCTAACCTGTACTGAGTGTGCGTTTTTATGAATGACGTTCTATATTCCCGCATCCAGCATCGTCCAGCAGTGCTTGTTTTCTGGATCCAGTGCCGGTGTTTGTGGCGCTGATGCCAGCGGTGCTGACGCGGGGGCGGCCGGCGCTTACTTTTATTCCCCCAGTTGGCGATGCAAGTGGTGACTATTTTATCCTCACGGATGGGTAAACAAAAATAAACAAAGAGCAACTTGACAGAATGTCGCCTAAATAGCTTCCAAAAATTGCACAGCGCAGGTACTGTAGCAACAAAAAACAACAACAACAACGGGGACATAGACGATATTCCTCTTTCTCTTCCCTCTATTTTCATCCATCTTTCCATACCATCCGTCCCATCCCCTCATCAATTTGATTCATTGGTCCCCAAAGAAGGACCCACCCGTCCTATATTTTTATTCTCACGTGTTATTGTGCAAATTATACAGACACCAAACATAGCCACGATAAATACTTCCTTTATCCCCTATAATAACAATAATCCCCCATCATAACATATTACACAACACGACGCCATCACAAAACATACCAATCCCGCGGTCCCCTCCCCCATCTTCCCTTGTGTTCTATAAACAGGTATGTTTCAATAATTGCTTTCATGTTATTATACACACCGCTATTATTAGCTGGGATAATTTATAATTTATTCCTGCTCACGGAAAGCAACACTTCAGTCAATGACATCAAAATCGGATGATGTTACCTGTTAAACAACTGTGCGTTTATAAAATTTGTTCACGCTCAATTAAATTAGAAGACGATGGTAATAAGGTAACGATGATGGTAATAGTACCATATTTGTTTAACTTCTGAGCTTTTGGGGTTCATTTGTTGTCTAGTATAAATAAGCCCATTATACTTGCAAATTTTCCCTTGTAGAGACAAACTTCTGCCAAGACAGACCAGACCTATTTACCCTTTGATTGCCATCGTCGGAAGAAAACACCACATTGTTTGTTTACTTTGTTTATTTTCTCCAGTTTGTTCATACTTCGTTCTTCCGTCAGCCGGGAGTCGCCACATCGCGCAGCGCGGGTTCGTCCTCCCATCCTTTCCGCCGCTCAATTGAATATTTTCACCAACTTGAAAAACAATTCGACTGAAAAAGTGAATTACTTAGTAGCGACAATATAACAACAACATTGGCTGTAGCTGCAATAACTACCAATAAAATACCATCAGGAAAGTATTCACTTGTTGTGATTGTTTTTGTTGTTGTAATGTTGTTGTTGTTATTGTAGTTTATTCATGCAAGTTTACATATCGCACCCCTTCAACTCGTTTCCCGGGTTACTTCTACCTCTTTCCTGTCCTCTAATTAAAGCAAACTTCACAAATCGATCGAATATTACTGTCGTTGATTTTGTTTACCCTGTTTACGGGTTGTTATTTACCTTAATACCCCTGCCGCCCGCTGCTCACCCACGCGACTGTTGCGAGGCGGCTCAATGCTGACTGCGGCCGCCGCCGACTCTTCCTTCGCCCACTATGACGACAATCGCGACGACGCCAACATGTTATCAGCTTCCTATTCTCCTGCGCCTACTTTTAATTATTCGCACTTCCAACAGGTGGGTTAGAAATGTTAGACAATTCAATCGTAAGATCAATTGAGCAAACCCCCACCCCCCATTCTCAAGTGAGGGGGTGGGGAGGGGGAGATAGCTCAATAGGTACTTGAGACATGTTTATAACCACTTGAAAAAAGTTTGAATGATATGGAATAATGAACGAGATTCTCCAACAAATATTGAACGCCAAAAATTACAACAAGATTGCTCGTATCAGGGCGAAGCCCTGAATGTTCCGACTGCCTTTCAAGGTTTATGGAGCAGTAATAACCTATAAAAAAAATTAAAGGTATTAAAAAAAAATGAAAACTTTTTTCCTGAAATTTTAAATTTTTTATGAAAATCATCCCCCCACACGCCATATTAAGTACAAAAGGATAGATTTTGCTCCTTGTAACAGATCAATTATAGCAAATAAGCTTCTTTTAACCATTTTGGAACGATTTCTAAGACGGATTAAATCTCCGCTTACGCGTTAATAGCGCGAAATTTATCGCGCGTTAATTGACCCAAACTGGCCAAAATGGCAATCTTTAAACCCCCATAACTTTACGAAAAATTATCACAGGTGAAATATTTTTTCAAATTTAAGCTCAGGACAACAATACCTTTTGAATGATATAAAAAAATTCCGTCAAAAATGGCTAGGTAAAAAGTCGAAATTTGTCTGAAGAAAAAAAAACCCACCCCAAGCACAAATATTCCGTTACTTTCGTATCGAAAGTCGGAACAATAAAAAAGCTCAAAAATTATATTCAGCGTGAAAAAAAAAATCAATAAAACTGAGGCCCAAAAAGCGACTTTTTTGATCCAAATGGAAAAAAGCTATTGGGTACCATATTTAACTGCTGAGGAGAACAATTTTTGTGATTCAGATACCAGGCTAGAGCATAGAGCACGAACTTTGATAACCCGTTTTCCTCAATGAGGGGCAATGGTCGCCCAAACGAAAATTTGCAATTTTTTTTTAAATTCGATTTTTTTCTTTTTCAAAATTTTTTTCGATACTCATAAAATGAACTTCAGTCGGTCAACTCATTCGGAACACATCAACCATCTACTTGCGTTTTTTGATGTTTTTTTGTAGCGTCTTAGTTTTTGCTTGGAGGGAGATTGCTCAGTTCATCCCAATCCTATATACCTTAGCTTAATTTTTTTTCCAGCTAGTCATAATGAATTTTGTGGAAATGGCGTAAATTTTCTCAATAAAACTTTTTGAGACTTGAAAAGTGTCATTAGTATGCTTCCATTTGTAAGAAAAATCAAATCTTTCTGAAGTTTTTGCTCTCACGGGCTTTGTTTTGTCTCGCAAATCAGTACAGTTTCAGTGAAGTTCCACTAATGCATTACTCTGCACAGTGCCACTCTAACATTCATCAGAGCTAAAATTAATATGCTTTTTTCCATTTCCTCTACCTTTCACTTTCAGTTTTATAAACTACTTAACGCCGTCATAATTCAAGGAAATTGGTAAGTAAACTATTAATTATGAAAATATTTCTTCTTCCTACATTGCATTGTAACATCACGCAGTCAAACATAATAAGACATAAGACATCATACAAAATTACAAGACTGCTCGAGAATCAGGACAAATCCCTGGAAATTCCGACTGTATCTTAATCCGTCTCGAATAGTTTATTTTGGGAAAGAAAGTTTTGAAAAACTAAACCAAAGATCAAATGTGACAATATCAAAGATCAAGTTTGACAATTTGAATCTTACGAAATTAATACGACTGACTTGCAAGTCTGAATTTGTTTTTGCTGTGCGGAATAAGTCGCCACGCATAAATATTTTGCGTAACGCTTTCTGTATAATGAATAAAATCTTCAAAGTGCGCACAAAATAGTCCGGAGCATGGCCAAATTGGCAATTTACAAATCTCAAATGTTTTCAAAAAAAGATCAGGGGTAAATATTTTTCTAAATCGATTTAAGGGAGTCGACATCTTCAATGGGGCACAAAAATTTGTGGTTAAAAACTATTATTTCGATCGCCAAAAACGGACTAAATAAAATAACCACGCCACTAGCATTTAAACAAAGTAAAAACAAATCGATTATAAGTGATTTTTGTGGTCTAGAATTTTTTCAACATAATCGATTCCCATTTTACGCTCAGACAGCAAAAGTGGAATAAAAATGGATTTAAATCCATTATTCTCCGCAAAAACATAGTGTTGTATAATTCATTTGATCAATTATAATTGATTATATGAAAAGTAGATATTCTGGATGTTTTTTTGCAATTTAGTTTTCTTTGGTGTCGTGCAAAAAATGGCAAGATTTTCTGCATTTATCAAAAGAACAACGCGGAAATTTGGCGAAGCGAGTGTAAGGCCTATTACGTTTCTGAACCTAATTTTTCTCAAATTGCAAAACGATTCTGGTAACTTTTACCCCCTAACGTCTAACGTTTGCGTCTTTGCCCCCTTACAACCTCTCAACCCAACGTTTACACCTTTGCCTAACCACCTTTTCTGAACCACCCCCCGCCAGAACACACCCGGGTTTGATCTGGGATCTGGCGGCGGGTTTTGTTGGTTCATGTGGGGGGGGGATTGCAAGTAACAGTAACGGTAACATGAATCGAAAATGCACAGACAAGGTTTGAAATTGAACAGCAAATAACCAACTTTGGTTGGGGACATAAAAACACTCCATGTGGTTAAAAATCTTTTATAATGAAGTTTAATGCTTTCATCTACAAAAATGAAAAATAAATGATTAAAATTGATTTTCAATGGATTTCATGTTTTTTTTTAAATATTGGCACTATAATCCGTTTTAAACTGATTTTAATCGATTGTGTTTCACTTTTATAGACCCTGACTATAAAACTTAAATTTTATCAATTTTTATCCACGGAACTCCAGTTCGAGTAAGCATAAACAATCAGTTTTCTTCAAACGGCGGAAGATAATTTGAACAATTCAAAACCTTTGCAAAAAAGAGATAATTTTGATCACACAAAAATGGGGTTCAAACAATGGCTCGATTCGTTCTTCTTCTACTGTTCATTCCAACTTCTCACAACTGAGCCTTTAAGTCTTCTATTAAGGAAGTCAGTGTAGAAATATAGAAGTATCAGCATAAGCCTAGAACCGACTCTTTTTCTTTTTCCCCACCAGCAGTTTCTTTTGAGTAACTTTTGTTATCTTGTTAGAAGTTTTTAAAACTTGTTGATGAAACCAAAAAACTCCTCCAAGTGTCAATGAGTTGCCTTTTTGTCAGGGAAAGTAGGAAATTGGTTCAAGAGTAGTTCACGGTCAATTTTTGGGGTGTGATTTTTGATTTGGTTTTGAGTTGGTTTTACAATCTTCACTAATTTGAAAGCAAAGTACATGGAAAAAACAAATGGTGTTGAACAAATGAACTCTTTTAAATGAAGTCTTTCAAATAATTTTCTCAAATTATATTACCTCTATAAAAACCGGCCAACATGGCTTTCCAGTATTTTTAAGCACTGGAATTTTGAAAAGCGTTGAGAAAAAATCAAAATCATTTTCCTTTTTCTTCATTTTACTGACTTTGTTCTAATTTTTGACTGGTTATCTTGTTTTATTACCCAAAATCACCCATTCAAAACTTTTTGTTTTGTCGATGATCCAGAGCTGTGATTTTTTTTGATTCTGTGAAAAAAAATTGATAAAAGTTATCAATGCTACATTTTTGAACGCTGAATCAAATATTTGAGCTTAAACTATGCCAATTTGATTAGTAGCGTCTATCTGAATAGCATTTGAATATTGTTTTGAAAAACATTATCGTACAAATTTGAACTTTTATAGTTCAAGCATTTATTATTAAGAACTTTTTTGTGAAAATCAATCAAGTTTTTGACAATTAGCTGATTTTTTTTCAAAAAATTTGTGGCAATTAAGAATTGTGAACATATCCAATCTGTTGATAGAATTAATACAATCGACGGCCCAGTGGTAACTTACATTTTTTTTTGGTGAATTAATACTTTTTTCTACTATTTTTATCTTCAACGGAACAAATTAATTCAATTTCCTATTGCTAGAGATATCGTCTCTTCTTGTAGCCTCTGAAATTCAAAATTAATGAAATTTTGACTTCCTTTTTTGTAATGGCACGTTAACCGTTTCTTTAATTTGATTTTTATTGAAGTCTGGACGCTTGTTATTTTAACATTCGGACTATTTATAGCTAAGTATTCAAACTGTTGTCCCAAAAGTGTCCTATATCATCCTTGTTTTCATCCTCAACACTATTCATCCTCAACACCTAAAAGCATCCATTGTTATCATTTGTCACTGTTATCAAAATTGTTCTAGCTAAAAATGTGTCGTTTTTTCTAAACTATTCTATAAAAACTTCAAGAGAAACCATTTATAACTCTTATGTTTTTAGACGACCCAAGCTTGGCAGAACAGCTAATTTAGGCTTGCAAATGCAGCCAGCAATCTTTTAATCGTTTTAGTATAAAATAAAACTTGTAAGCTGTTTTCAAATTGTAAATTTATGATTGCAATTCTTTTCTAAGCTTCACAGATCTGAATTTTTACCTGCAGATTAAGTTTTTTGCTCCGACCATTGAAAATCAGGAGAAGCTTTGTATTCGGGTGTGTTTTATTTTTTATTTTTTTCCATTCAAAATCTGGTACCACAAAAAATCAAAGGAATGGGATGAGTGATATATCGTAGATGAAATTTTTCAGTACTGATTCGAACGTAATCAAAGAACTTCGAAAAAATCCCATTGGCAAGAAAATTTTTTTTGAATTTATTTGGTTTTTCGTCTGATTTCGACCAAATAAAGCAAAGATAAGAAAACTGTATTTGGCACTTACCGAGCCAGAACTATTTTCAGAAAAAATAGAAAAAACTTGATTTTTAGTTAAATTTTTTTTTCATGTTTGTTATTTTTCGTTTGGAGACAACTGGTGTCGATTATGACTAATTTATTGGGTTTTATGCGTGTCTAAATTTAATAATTACACTACGTACGAAAACGAACATAAATTGAAGAAC